CTCACACACACACACACACACTCACACACACACACACACACACACACACTGACAGACACACTCACTCACTCACACACACACACACACTTACATGCACGCACACACACACACACATGAATGATCCATGACATGTTGCTAAGCAACGCGGGGTCTGGTTTGTGCTGATAAGTGTCGGTGTTTGACTCTCGCATGCGTCTGTGGTGAAGCACAGGAGGAGCTGCAGGACGTCTTTCTGATGTTATGATGTCTGTCTCACAGCTGTCTCTCTCTCTCTGTCTCACTCTGTCTTCAGTGATCCTACAACCACACAGACACGCGCATCTTTCAATCCAGAGTCTCCCCCAAAAAACTGCATTTGAGCTTTTTCAAGCAGTAGTTTGAGCACACGACCCGTGTTCTCTCTGTCTGTCTGCTCGTGTGAGTCGTGTGTGATCAGCGTGATTTGGCAGCACACAAAGGGAAGGTCATTTCAAATGGAGCACGTGCAGGAAAATGATAGCAGAAGTGGAGAAGTGGCCCTCAAACGGCGGCTCACGTGACGGGGTCAGTCTGAGCTCCAAAGACTCTGATTGCTAATCACCCGCAATTACACTTATTCACATAATGACACGAGAATCAAAGGCCAGAAATAGTCGTCTGGCTTCATCCATTCATATCTCGCTGCCTGCCGTCACTCGTCCCTCCTCCATCCATTCTGCAGCCCATTACACACACACACACACACTCAGTGTTTCACTGCCGACATCTCTGAATTATGACAGGAGTTTTGTGTTTTTAATTCTCTCTCACTGCAGACGGTCATGTGATCTGCTCAGGTTCCTCTTTATCATCATGTCTTATCAAGAACCGTGATGTAAATAGGTTCTTGATAATAATAATAAAATGATGCATAAAAACTTCTACACATTAAAATTCTATTATTTAAAATAATAATACAATTGTGCATAAGTTTAAACATTATAATTCTAATATTTAATATAAAATTGTATGCATAATTGTATTTAAACACATTCTAACTCTAGAATTCTGAATTCTAAAAAAGTTATCATCAAAAAAATTAATTAATTAATTAATCCATAAATTCCATTTGAATCTAACAATATTAGTAAAAAAATAATAATATTTATTATAAAATATTTAAATATTTAAAATAATGCAATTATGCATTAAGGGTGTTAATACATTCTAACTGTAGAATTCAAAATTCTAAAAAAAAAATCCTCATCAAACATATTATAATGTTAAAATGAGTAAATCCAATTCTATTTGTATCTAATTTTATTAACGTCAAAAATAAAACATATAAAATAATAAAAATATTTAAATATTTAAAATAATACAATTAATATAAAGTTAAAAAATTGTAAATCCAGTATTTAAAATAATAATACAATTCAGCATAAAACGTTCAAACACATCTCTACAATTCTAAAAATAAGTCATCATCAAAACCTTATCAGAAATATTAGTAAATGCATAAATTCTATTTGCATCTAAAAATTTAACAAATATTTAATTTAATAAAACATTTAAATATATTTAAATAAATAGTAAATTTACAAAACACAGAAAAATTCTAGGCAACATTGCTTTATAGATAATCGTTAAAATATGACATTTATTTCGTATTTAAATATGATATGTAATATTCCAAATGATTAGAATAGATCTGAACACAGCTGAGCTGTTCAGAGACACATCTACTGTCATATCAGTCCATTCACTCTGAACATGCACGAAGAGCCGGTTTATCAGTAACGAACAGACAGAATAACACATAAATGCAGGTGAGAAATGCAGTAAAAGCAGCTGTAAATGATCAGAGCTCCAGATGCTAATTCAGTGATTTATCAAGACCAGCGAGACATACGGATCAATACAGGAATCACATCTGCGTGTCACTGATAGTACTGAGCTGCTGTTGTCATTTACAGCACACTGGACAGAGATAATGGACCTCAATCCACCATTCACACACACACACACACACACACACACACACACACACACACACACACACACACACACAATAACACATATACACGCATATTACTAATCAAACATTAAGTTTTGATATATTTACGGTAGGACATTTACAAAATATCTTCATGGAACATGATCTTTACTTAATATCCTAATGATTTTTGGCATAAAAGAGAAATGTATAATTGTGACCCATACAATGTATTGTTGGCTATTGCTACAAATATCCCCCAGCGACTCAACACTGCTTTTGTGCTGCAGGGTCACGTATAAACAAGACTTCTTATCTTGAGAAACCGATCAAAATAAAGCGAGTTCATGTTTAAAATAAGAAAAAAAATCTCCCAATGGAGTCACAAAGAAAACCTTTTTTTTCTCATTCCCCACTGGCAGATATTTGTTCTTGTTTTAAGCATAAACTCGCTTCATCTTCACTCGGAGACTTCTTATCTTCTGGCATCTCCAGTAAATGATCTCAATACTATCTGAATGTGTCTTAAACATTATTTTAGAGTCAAAGAAATGCAAACTCTATCAGAGAGACAAACAGATGTCAAAAAGCTTGGAAGTGCTTCAATATAGTACAATAACATATTTAAAAGTAGTACTGAAGGTAATAATTTGGATCAAACGGTGTAAAGCCGACAGAAGAGAGAGAGACTCGTGCTGGGGAACCGTCGTGTGTTTAATACTGCGAGGCACCAGATCTGTACAGCACAACACCTCAGACATTCACTCATCACATCTACAAACACAGCGGTGCTCTGGTGCTTAATAAATAATCCAACAATCTCCAGCGGCCCTTCAGCATCAAACCAGCACAACACAACATCAACAGAGTCCAAATACAATGCAGAAGTCCAGCTTCATGACATAAACGGAGCGGCCTCAGACGAATCTCAGTGTTCAGATACATTCACAGACACTCTGGTTCTCTCAGGGGTCAAAGGTCTCTACTGCCCCCTGCTGGACGATCTCAGTTTGATGATCCACTCACCGCCGGGGTTGTTGTTGTACAGGTCGAACAAATGAGTCTCTGGATCCAAACAATGTTCACCTGAGCCATACAATAATATATAATGTACATTATAATCTAAATATATATGGTATTGTTTTCTTTTTGATATTGTAAATGCTGTTCTATCTATCTGTGAACATCAAATGAAACAGAACCATGATTTTATATTTAACTAACAAAACCAAACCTAGAGGGTTAACATATATGATAATAATATAAATATTACAGTATTGTTTTCTTATTGAGAGTGTAAATGCTGTTCCATTTGGAAACCGTGTGGCGATCATACGAAACTAAAAAGGAATTTATTCAGAAGTCAGAAAGAGCTTTATTACTAGGTATGTTTACACACACAAGGTTTTAGTTTTTGTTAACTATAATAATCATGGTTTGTGTCTAGCGTCGTCTCATTCGTTGTATATTACATTTAAAAAAATTTATAAATAGAAAAAATACCTTACCGATATTCCCACCCACTTCATAGATGGCACAGTCCAGGTAGGTTGTTGAACCATTTCTGTGTGAGGGAAAAATAGAAAAAAAATGAAAGTAAAAAATTAAAATCCAAATAATTTTCTCTACAGGTGTTTTCTGTGTGTGTGTGAGTGTGTGTGTGTCAGTGTGTGTGAGTGTGTGTGTGTGCACGTGTGTGTGTGTGAGTGTGTGTGTGTGTGTATGTGAGAGAGTGTGTATGTGTGTGTCAGTGTGTGTGTGTGTGTCAGTGTGTGTGAGTGTGTGTGTGTGTGTGTCTGTGTGTGTGTGTGAGTGTGTGAGAGAGAGTGTACGTGTGTGTGTGTGTGTTCATACCGTTTCAGGAGTCCTCTGCTGTTGTCAGAGGTGTGTAGTTCTTTATAAAACTGTGACATCAGGTCTGAAGCGCGAGAATTAATAGTGAGACGAAACTCCATCGAGAAACTCACATCAGCCAGCTGGATCTTTACAGTACGACACTGCTGATCACACACACACACACATACACAGACACACACACACATAGACACACACACACACACACACACACACACACACACACACACACACACACACACA